CTTCCAACCTCAAACTCTTTCTCTCCCCTTCAAGATCTACCAGAAAACCCACCAAGAAAAGAACCACAAAACAAACCCGTAGACACTAATTCGCAGCACCCTCCTAAGTCTCCTGCTACCAACGACACCAATAATTCTAATGAAGTGATCTTCCTATGTGATTCAAATGGAGAGTTTTTAGACATGGAAAAAATGTTTCCTTCAGACCAGGAAGTGAAGTATGTTAGAACTCCACTGATTGAACACGCTAGATCGTACTTACAAAGTCAAATCCACACTGCTCCCCGACTACTCATATTACACACAGGAACAAACGATCTAGAAAGAACCAGTTCTCCTGAAGATCTTATTTCTAACATCTTAATATTGATCACAGAAGCCTCAACGAAATTTCCTTCAAGCAAAATATTCTACTCAACACTTCTTCCCCGCAGCGACATCCCGACACCAATAATAACTTCAACAAAACAATCAGTTGATCAGTAGCTGCTCAAGATTACCCAATGTGCAGTTAGTCAAACATGACAACCTCTTTGAGAATCAATCAAATATTCTTTACGATCAGAAACATATTCTTAAACGGTACGTAAAATTTTTCGCCAAGAACCTTAAGGACACAATTCGCGGTCGTGCCAGACCAAAACCTACAGTTCCTTCTAATACAATGCCAGCCCAAAGACAAAGATCCTCACAAACTCAACCGACTTCTTCCCAAGGTCCCAAGCCACTATTACATCACACATCATACAGCAATGCCGTAAAGAACACACCACCTCAAGTGCCTCGTTGGCCTCACCTTCTTCAAACTCAACCTCCGCCGTTACCATTTGTCACACCACAACTTCCACAACGAATACCTCCAACACCATTGCAAAATTCACTACATCATGAACCAAATGCCTCAAATAAAGCATTCCAGCTTCCTATGCAAACCCTGCCGGACCAGATACTCCCAGCTCCGCCACCAACTATATCGCATCAATACTCCAAAACACCGCATCAAACGATTCCACAGGCCGCTAAAATGGAAACCGCAGGTGAAGAAACTCGCCCCTCCAACAAATTAACGGATTCAGCAATGCCTCAGGAAATCATATCCTTTCTTCGTTTTATAAAATCATTTGTATGAACAATTTCATCTTATCCTTGACACTGAATTAAGTATTAATGATAAACTTTATACCAGTATAAAGAGTAATCCATTTATTATTTTCTATACAATCACGGACACCGAAGATAGTCCCGATATTTCAAGCACATTGTCCTTTTGCGCTTGGAATATTAATGGCCTTTCTTCGAAATTTCTTGGAAATAAGTTAGATAATACTGATTTTTTGAGTGTTATTAATAACTCCGATTTTATATTGTTAACAGAAATTGGCAACTGCTCTAATCTGGAAATTGCGGGATACAAATCTTTTTTTCAATGTCCCACACCAAATCAGTCGGGGAGAGGTGGGCGTAACTCCGGAGGAATCGCTTTATTTTATAAGAACAAATTCCACAAAAACATTTCCATCACTAAAACAACTCAGCATTTTATTTGGTTTAAAATTGAGAATCGTTTTCTAAATTCAGTGAAGAATATTTACGTCTGTGGTGTCTATATACCCCCCTGTAACTCAAAATACTTTGATAACGAAATTTTTGATCAGCTAGAACAAGACATAGTACGTTTTTCTTCGAAAGGATCAATAATTCTCATGGGTGACTTTAACTCGAGAACCGGGAAATACTCTGATACTGTCTCAAAGGAGGGAAACAGTAGAATTAGTAATGATCAGTCGGAATCTGCTTTCCAGCCAACTCAAAGAAACAGTTTTGATAATGTTTTAAATAGCCATGGGAAACGGCTGTTGGAAATTTGTAAAACCTTTGACCTAAGAATAGTTAATGGCAGAGTTAATGGAGATACCCTAGGCAGACCCACTTTTCATGGAAAAAACGGAACGAGCGTTATTGATTATCTAATATGTGATCAGTGTACATTTCTCAACGTTGCAAATTTTGTTGTTAAACAGCCATCTTATTTATCGGATCATAGTGCCATCGTGGCATGGCTCAATCTCAACACCAGGTTAATTGGAGACGAAATGCACACTCCAAATAGTAGCAATAGATTATCAAAATTACCACGGCAATTTTGCTGGGAAGTTGACTCACATTTAAAATTCAAAAACGCACTGCGCACGGAATCAATCCAAATTCTAATTAGACAATATATGGAGAGAAACACCGAAGATGTGAATATCTCCTTAGAAAACGCTATGAAAATTCTAACTGAGAGCTCCAAGCTATGCCTAAAAATTAAAGCTAAGAAAACTTATAAGCGTATTAAGAAATCATCCAACAAGAAATGGTTCGACTGTGAATGTCGCTTAAAAAGGCATGAATTACGAAAAGTCTCAAATGAAAAGCAGCGTGACCCCCTCAACTCCGAAGTGCGGGAAAGATATCACAAAACCTTGAATGATTACAAAAAGCTCCTAGGCACAAAGAGGAGAGGATTCCACAAAGAAAAAACATTACAACTCGACGAACTAGCTTTAAATCCTGACAAGGCGTCATTTTGGAATTGTTTAAATTCGATGAGCGACACTTTCAACGAAAATGTTCCTGCCCCAATCTCGGAAGAATCATGGCTTCACCATTTCAAATCTCTGCATTCTATTGACCCGACGAATTCCACGCATGAACATGAAATCCATAGGGAACTAAATTCTTTAGAACACGAAAAGGAACGGTTTAACCATCTCGATTGTGAGATAACTGAGAGGGAAATACGTCAAGCGGCGAAGAAATTGAAAAATAAGAAATCACCATTTGTTGACAAAATACGAAATGAAATGATCAAAGCAAGCCTCGAACTACTAATGCCTGTCTATGTCAAACTTTTTAACCTCATTTTACAATCCGGAAAAATGCCAGATGTTTGGTGTCAAGGCCTCATAACCCCAATTTACAAATCTGGTGACAAGAGTGATCCAACAAATTACAGAGGCATATGTGTTTCTAGTTGCCTTGGAAAACTGTTCTGTTCTATTTTAAATCGAAGACTTCTCTTGTATTTTGAGGAAAATAAGATATTACATAATTCCCAAATTGGCTTTTTGCCTGAAAACCGCACTGCAGACCATGTTTTCACTCTAAGGACCCTAATAGATAAATATGTGCATTATCACAAGGAAAAAGTCTACGCTTGTTTCGTAGATTTCCGCAAAGCGTTTGACTCTGTTTGGCACGAAGGATTGTTTTATAAGCTGCTAAAAACGAATATAGGAGGAAACTTGTACAACCTCATGAAAAGTCTTTATTGCAACTCGACATGTTCCATCAAAATCGGTGAAAACAAAACACAGCCTTTTTCATATTCCAGAGGTGTACGTCAAGGCTGTATTTTAAGTCCTCTTTTATTTAACCTCTATTTAAACAATCTACCACTTTTATTCGAAAACACCTTATCTGGCCCATTTGTTCTCCCAAATGGGAAAAAAAATAAATTCACTTTTGTACGCAGATGATTTAGTTATTCTATCAAGATCGAAAACTGGATTACAGAACTGTTTAAATGCGCTTTCTTTGTATTGTGACAAATGGAAGCTAAAAATTAATCCGAAGAAAACAAAAATTATGATATTCCAGAAACGCCCAAAAAAATCTATTGACATCAAATTCAACATAGGCAGTGAGTCAATTGAAATTGTCCAAGAATACACTTATTTAGGTACACGTTTAACTCCAACGGGAAACTTTACACTTGCACTCGAACACTTAAAAGAAAAGGCCCTTCACGCGTTTTCTAGTATTCGGAAGCGGACAATTCTTAACAAACTTAATCCTAATACTGCATCCCAAATTTTTGACATCATGGTATTCCCAATCTTGAGTTACAACAGCGAGGTATGGGGAATGTACACCAAGCAAGATTTTAAAAAATGGGATAGCTCCCCAATAGAAAAAATCCACCTCAAATTCTGTAAACGTTACTTAGAGGTTAACAATAAGGCCTCTAACATAGCCTGCAGAGCTGAACTTGATAGACTGCCGCTGCTTATCCCGATAAATCAGAAAAATTATGAAATATTTTGTTTACCTCAACAACAAAGATAATGACTCTATAGTCAAACAGTCTTTCCTTATGTCAAAGAATCTACATTCTATGAATAATTCCGGATATTTTTCCAATTTCATAAACATGCTTGAACAATACAATCTAACCAGTTTAGATGCTGAATCTCTAGATAATAATAAAATTAGACGATATACCACAGAAATGAGAGAGAAATATCTATCTTTTTTGGCGGCACAGCCTCGAAAATTCAAAAAAACTAGAATTTTATAAAACTTTTAAAGATGAATATTCTACATCTGATTATCTCTACCAGCTAAGACATTATGACGAACGACAGAATTTTGTTAAATTTAAAATAAGTAATCACAAACTTATGATTGAACATGGTCGATACCAAATCGATCATTTGCCAAGAGAAAATAGATTATGTCCTTTATGTAACTCAAATCAGGTAGAAGATGAGATTCATTTCCTCTTTCAATGTAACAAATACTCAGTACAGAGACAGGCATTTATTAATCAAATCAATCGAATAATACCTGACTTTGACAAGAAATCATCTCCGGAAAGCATAAAACTGATAATGAATTCGAAGGAACATCATGTAAATAAGTTAGTTATGAAGTTTGTCTCCTCCTGCATGAAAATACGTGATTCATTGTTAGTAATGTAACCGAATTTTTCTAGATTGTTATTAGTGCTGTTTTGTTTTTATTTTGATTGTCATATACATGCTTTTGCAATACTGTAAAGTGATGCGGTCATGCAAATAAAGCAATTTATTACTATTACTATTACTTGCTACTCCAGCTACTACACCTACTACAGCTACTACAGCTACTACAGCTACTACAGCTACTACACCTACTACAGCTACTACAGGTACTACACCTACTCCAGCTACTACAGTTACTACAGCTACTACAGTTACTACACCTACTACAGCTACTACAGCTACTACAGGTACTACAGATACTACAGCTAGTACAGCTACTCCAGCTACTACAGCTACTACAGCTACTACAGCTACTACAGCTGCTACAGGTACTACAGCTACTACAGGTACTACACCTACTACAGCTACTACAGCTACTACAGCTACTACAGCTACTACAGCTACTACAGCTACTACAGCTACTACACCTACTACAGGTACTACAGCTACTACAGGTACTACACCTACTACAGGTACTACAGCTACTACAGGTACTACACCTACTACAGCTACTACAGGTACTACACCTACTACAGGTACTACAGGTACTACAGGTACTACAGCTACTACAGCTACTACAGCTACTACAATGGGATAGCTACCCAATAGAAAAAATCCACCTCAAATTCTGTAAACGTTACTTAGAGGTTAACAATAAGGCCTCTAACATAGCCTGCAGAGCTGAACTTGATAGACTGCCGCTGCTTATCCCGATAAATCAGAAAATTATGAAATATTTTGTTTACCTCAACAACAAAGATAATGACTCTATAGTCAAACAGTCTTTCCTTATGTCAAAGAATCTACATTCTATGAATAATTCCGGATATTTTTCCAATTTCATAAACATGCTTGAACAATACAATCTAACCAGTTTAGATGCTGAATCTCTAGATAATGATAAAATTAGACGATATACCACAGAAATGAGAGAGAAATATCTATCTTTTTGGCGGCACAGCCTCGAAAATTCAAAAAAAAAACTAGAATTTTATAAAACTTTTAAAGATGAATATTCTACATCTGATTATCTCTACCAGCTAAGACATTATGACGAACGACAGAATTTTGTTAAATTTAAAATAAGTAATCACAAACTTATGATTGAACATGGTCGATACCAAATCGATCATTTGCCAAGAGAAAATAGATTATGTCCTTTATGTAACTCAAATCAGGTAGAAGATGAGATTCATTTCCTCTTTCAATGTAACAAATACTCAGTACAGAGACAGGCATTTATTAATCAAATCAATCGAATAATACCTGACTTTGACAAGAAATCATCTCCAGAAAGCATAAAACTGATAATGAATTCGAAGGAACATCATGTAAATAAGTTAGTTATGAAGTTTGTTTCCTCCTGCATGAAAATACGTGATTCATCGTTAGTAATGTAACCGAATTTTTCTAGATTATTATTAGCGCTGTTTTGTTTTATATTTTGATTGTCATATACATGCTTTTGCAATACTGTAAAATGATGCGGTCATGCAAATAAAGCAATTTATTACTATTACTATTACTACAGCTACTACAGGTACTACACCTACTACAGGTACTACAGCTACTACAGGTACTACACCTACTACAGGTACTGCAGCTACTACGGGTACTACACCTACTACAGCTACTACAGCTACTACAGGTACTACAGGTACTACACCTACTACAGGTACTACAGGTACTACAGCTACTACAGGTACTACAGGTACTACAGCTACTACAGGTACTACAGCTACTACAGGTACTACAGCTACTACAGCTACTACAGGTACTACAGGTACTACACCTACTACAGCTACTACAGCTACTACAGCTACTACAGCTACTACACCTACTACAGGTACTACACCTACTACAGCTACTACACCTACTACAGCTACTACAGCTACTACAGCTACTACAGGTACTACAGCTACTACAGGTACTACAGCTACTACAGGTACTACACCTACTACAGGTACTACAGACACTACAGGTACTACACCTACTACAGGTACTACAGCTACTACAGGTACTACAGGTACTACAGGTACTATAGCTACTACACCTACTACAGGTACTACACCTACTACAGGTACTACAGCTACTACAGGTACTACAGGTACTACAGCTACTACAGCTACTCCAGCTACTCCAGCTACTACACCTACTACAGCTACTACAGCTACTACAGCTACTACACCTACTACAGCTACTACAGGTACTACACCTACTCCAGCTACTACAGTTACTACAGCTACTACAGGTACTACACCTACTACAGGTACTACAGGTACTACAGCTACTACAGGTACTACAGGTACTACAGATACTACAGCTACTACAGCTACTCCAGCTACTGCAGCTACTACAGCTACTACAGGTACTACACCTACTCCAGCTACTACAGCTACTACAGGTACTACACCTACTACAGCTACTACAGCTACTACAGCTACTACAGCTACTACAGCTACTACAGCTACTACAAGTACAACAGCTACTACAGCTACTACAGCTACTACACCTACTACAGGTACTACAGCTACTACAGCTACTACAGCTACTACAGGTACTACAGCTACTACAGCTACTACAGCTACTACAGGTACTACAGCTACTACAGCTACTACACCTACTACAGCTACTACAGCTACTACAGGTACTACAGCTACTACAGGTACCACAGGTACTACACCTACTACAGCTACTACAGGTACTACAGGTACTACACCTACTACAGGTACTACAGCTACTACAGGTACTACAGCTACTACACTCCACTGATTGAACACGCTAGATCGTACTTACAAAGTCAAATCCACACTGCTCCCCAACTACTCATATTACACACAGGAACAAACGATCTAGAAAGAACCAGTTCTCCTGAAGATCTTATTTCTAACATCTTAATATTGATTAGGGAAAGTTCATTTAATATGACAAGGGGGGGGATGAAGATATTGAGGGGGGGCTCCGAAAATTTTTAGACACCCGAAGGGGGGGCTCTGAAAAAATTGTTGCGCTAGGAGGGGGGGCTCCGAAAATTTGTATACTTCAAAACCAACACATGACATCATCATACAGATCGGATGGTTTTCAACTCAACAATTTAATGACCTGTGCAACTCAGCTATATCACGTGGTTTACAGATATAACAAATGTAGTCTCAGTAATTATTACACTCTTGTTCATCCCAAAAATGCTTTAGAAAATTGTATCACAACTGTATCTCAAGTTTGTCATAGTATAAACCATTGAAGACAATAACGGTAAATATATTTAATACAGTCTAGCGATCTTTTTTCAGGGGAGCAAAGGAATTGAAGGAGGAGGGGGGGGGCTCTGAAATTTTTTCGACTACCAAGGAGGGGGCTCCTAAAAAATTGAACCGCTAGCGAGGGGGGCTGCTAAAATTTCAAGCTTCGAGTTTCAATATCTTCACCCCCCCCCCCCCCCTTGTCATATTAAATGAACTTTCCCTTACCGAAGCCTCAACGAAATTTCCTTCAAGCAAAATATTCTACTCAACACTTCTTCCCCGCAGCGACATCCCGACACCAATAATAACTTCAATAAACAATCAGTTGATCAGTAGCTGCTCAAGATTACCCAATGTGCAGTTAGTCAAACATGACAACCTCTTTGAGAATCAATCAAATATTCTTTACGATCAGAAACATATTCTTAAACGGTACGTAAAATTTTTCGCCAAAAACCTTAAGGACGCAATTCGCGGTCGTGCCAGACCAAAACCTACAGTTCCTTCTAATACAATGCCAGCCCAAAGACAAAGATCCTCACAAACTCGACCGACTTCTTCCCAAGGTCCCAAGCCACTATTACATCACACATCATACAGCAATGCCGTAAAGAACACACCACCTCAAGTGCCTCGTTGGTCTCACCTTCTTCAAACTCAACCTCCGCCGTTACCATTTGTCACACCACAACTTCCACAACGAATACCTCCAACACCATTGCAAAATTCACTACATCATGAACCAAATGCCTCAAATAAAGCATTCCAGCTTCCCATGCAAACCCTGCCGGACCAGATACTCCCAGCTGCGCCACCAACTATATCGCATCAATACTCCAAAACACCGCATCAAACGTTTCCACAGGCCGCTAAAATGGAAACCGCAGGTGAAGAAACTCGCCCCTCCAACAAATTAACGGATTCAGCAATACCTCAGGAAATCATATCCTTTCTTCGTTTTATAAAATCATTTGTATGAACAATTTTATCTTACCATTGACACTGAATTAAGTATTAATGATAAACTTTATACCAGTATAAAGAGTAAGCCATTTATTTTTTTTTCTATACAATCACTGACACCGAAGATAGTCGCGATATTTCAAGCACATTGTCCTTTTGCGCTTGGAATGTTAATGGCCTTTCTTCGAAATATCTTGGAAATAAGTTAGATAATACTGATTTTTTGCGTGTTATTAATAACTCCGATTTTATATTGTTAACAGAAATTGGCAACTGCTCTAATCTGGAAATTGCGGGATACAAATCTTTTTTTCAATGTCCCACACCAAATCAGTCGGGGAGAGGTGGGCGTAACTCCGGAGGAATCGCTTTATTTTATAAGATCAAATTCCATAAAAACATTTCCATCACTAAAACAACTCAGCATTTTATTTGGTTTAAAATTGAGAATCGTTTTCTAAATTCAGTGAAGAATATTTACGTCTGTGGTGTCTATATACCCCCCTGTAACTCAAAATACTTCGATAACGAAATTTTTGATCAGCTAGAACAAGACATAGTACGTTTTTCTTCGAAAGGATCAATAATTCTCATGGGTGACTTTAACTCGAGAACCGGGAAATACTCTGATACTGTCTCAAAGGAGGGAAACAGTAGAATTAGTAATGATCAGTCGGAATCTGCTTTCCAGCCAACTCAAAGAAACAGTTTTGATAATGTTTTAAATAGCCATGGGAAACGGCTGTTGGAAATTTGTAAAACCTTTGACCTAAGAATAGTTAATGGCAGAGTTAATGGAGATACCCTAGGCAGACCCACTTTTCATGGAAAAAACGGGACGAGCGTTATTGATTATCTAATATGTGATCAGTGTACATTTCTCAACATTGCAAATTTTGTTGTTAAACAGCCATCTTATTTATCGGATCATAGTGCCATCGTGGCATGGCTCAATCTTAACACCAGGTTAATTGGAGACGAAATGCACACTCCAAATAGTAGCAATAGATTATCAAAATTACCACGGCAATTTTGCTGGGAAGTTGACTCACATTTAAAATTCAAAAACGCTCTGCGCACGGAACCAATCCAAATTCTAATTAGACAATATATGGAGAGAAACACCGAAGATGTGAATATCTCCTTAGAAAACGCTATGAAAATTCTAACTGAGAGCTCCAAGCTATGCCTAAAAATTAAAGCTAAGAAAACTTATAAGCGTATTAAGAAATCATCCAACAAGAAATGGTTCGACTGTGAATGTCGCTTGAAAAGGCATGAATTACGAAAAGTCTCAAATGAAAAGCAGCGTGACCCCCTCAACTCCGAAGTGCGGGAAAGATATCACAAAACCTTGAATGATTACAAAAAGCTCCTAGACACAAAGAAGAGTGGATTCCACAAAGAAAAAACATTACAACTCGACGAACTAGCTTTAAATCCTGACAAGGCGTCATTTTGGAATTGTTTAAATTCGATGAGCGACACTTTCAACGAAAATGTTCCTGCCCCAATCTCGGAAGAATCATGGCTTCACCATTTCAAATCTCTGCATTCTATTGACCCGACGAATTCCACGCATGAACATGAAATCCATAGGGACCTAAATTCTTTAGAACACGAAAAGGAACAGTTTAACCATCTCGATTGTGAGATAACTGAGAGGGAAATACGTCAAGCGGCGAAGAAATTGAAAAATAAGAAATCACCATTTGTTGACAAAATAAGAAATAAAATGATCAAAGCAAGCCTCGAACCACTAATGCCTGTCTATGTCAAACTTTTTAACCTCATTTTACAATCCGGAAAAATGCCAGATGTTTGGTGTCAAGGCCTCATAACCCCAATTTACAAATCTGGTGACAAGAGTGATCCAACAAATTACAGAGGCGTATGTGTTTCTAGTTGTCTTGGAAAACTGTTCTGTTCTATTTTAAATCGAAGACTTCACTTGTATTTTGAGGAAAATAAGATATTACATAATTCCCAAATTGGCTTTTTGCCTGAAAACCGCACTGCAGACCATGTTTTCACTCTAAGGACCCTAATAGATAAATATGTGCATTATCACAAGGAAAAAGTCTACGCTTGTTTCGTAGATTTCCGCAAAGCGTTTGACTCTGTTTGGCACGAAGGATTGTTTTATAAGCTGCTAAAAACGAATATAGGAGGAAACTTGTACAACCTCATGAAAAGTCTTTATTGCAACTCGACATGTTCCATCAAAATCGGTGAAAACAAAACACAGCCTTTTTCATATTCCAGAGGTGTACGTCAAGGCTGTATTTTAAGCCCTCTTTTATTTAACCTCTATTTAAACAATCTACCACTTTTATTCGAAAACACCTTATCTGACCCATTTGTTCTCCCAAATGGGAAAAAAATAAATTCACTTTTCTACGCAGATGATTTAGTTATTCTATCAAGATCGAAAACTGGATTACAGAACTGTTTAAATGCGCTTTCTTTGTATTGTGACAAATGGAAGCTAAAAATTAATCCGAAGAAAACAAAAATTATGATATTCCAGAAACGCCCAAAAAAATCTATTGACATCAAATTCAACATAGGCAGTGAGTCAATTGAAATTGTCCAAGAATACACTTATTTAGGTACACGTTTAACTCCAACGGGAAACTTTACACTTGCACTCGAACACTTAAAAGAAAAGGCCCTTCGCGCGTTTTCTAGTATTCGGAAGCGGACAATTCTTAACAAACTTAATCCTAATACTGCATCCCAAATTTTTGACACCATGGTATTCCCAATCTTGAGTTACAACAGCGAGGTATGGGGAATGTACACCAAGCAAGATTTTAAAAAATGGGATAGCTCCCCAATAGAAAAAATCCACCTCAAATTCTGTAAACGTTACTTAGAGGTTAACAATAAGGCCTCTAACATAGCCTGCAGAGCTGAACTTGATAGACTGCCGCTGCTTATCCCGATAAATCAGAAAATTATGAAATATTTTGTTTACCTCAACAACAAAGATAATGACTCTATAGTCAAACAGTCTTTCCTTATGTCAAAGAATCTACATTCTATGAATAATTCCGGATATTTTTCCAATTTCATAAACATGCTTGAACAATACAATCTAACCAGTTTAGATGCTGAATCTCTAGATAATGATAAAATTAGACGATATACCACAGAAATGAGAGAGAAATATCTATCTTTTTGGCGGCACAGCCTCGAAAATTCAAAAAAAAAACTAGAATTTTATAAAACTTTTAAAGATGAATATTCTACATCTGATTATCTCTACCAGCTAAGACATTATGACGAACGACAGAATTTTGTTAAATTTAAAATAAGTAATCACAAACTTATGATTGAACATGGTCGATACCAAATCGATCATTTGCCAAGAGAAAATAGATTATGTCCTTTATGTAACTCAAATCAGGTAGAAGATGAGATTCATTTCCTCTTTCAATGTAACAAATACTCAGTACAGAGAC